TCCCTTTCATTTTTTTCCCCTTTCTCTCTGTGCTTTAGAGTTTTAAGGAGTTATTAATGTAAACTATTGCATTTTTCAACTTTAAAATCAAGATGTATTGAAGGCAGAAGATGGCGTCTCTGGACTCCCACATGGCTGACCACAGTTTGAATCTCAGACCTAGCAGCTTAAAACTCATGTTGGGCTTGTGTGCTTGTGTGCCCAAAATCCCAAGAGGAGAATGGAAGAGAAATAATTGTGGCAATGCCATCCCCACTGGGGGCAATTTCTCACTTTTGTCTCTCTGTCTCTGACTGCATGTGCCCTATAACAAAAATTTCTCTTAAAAATAATCACAATGTGTTTCTGTTTATACCTTCCAATTATTTGTAGAAATTACTTTTCCCCCAATTTTATAGTTTATTTACATTTGATTGTTGTTCATCTTTATGGTATATACTATGATTTTCAAAACATTCATGCAGTATGCGATAATCAAATCAAGGATATTACCATACATACCATTTTTAACAAAAAACTTTACATTCTTGTGTCTGTTAAATGTTTTTTTTTTTAACTGAGTCTGTCCCACCCATCTTTCACTATCTACCCTCATATCAAACAGTCTTGGGTATCTATACTTTCTCTCTCTACTGTTATGTCTTTGAATCTTTCAATTTCTGCCACAGAGTGAAAATGTTCAGTATATATTGAGAGGGGATATACAATGGTTTTCTTTCATACTCTGGCTTATTTCACTCAGCATTAAATCTTCTACATTCATTTACTTTGTATTGAATGATGGCATCTCACTGTTCTATATGGTAGAGTAATATTCCATAATGTATATATCATATTTTTCAACCTTGTCATTAGTTTTTGGGCACTTAGTTGATTCTTTGTCTAAGTAATTGGAAATAATACTTCCAGAAACATGGATGTGCAAGTTTTCTGAATGTTTTCCTATTCTTTGAGCAAATACTGAGAGATGAGATTACTTGGTCATATGGTAGTTCTATTTGTAGGTTTTTGAAGAACCTTCATGTGATTTTACAGAGTGGCTGTACTAATTTACATTCCCACCCATAGTGCAAAAAGTCTCCTTTTCACCACCCCTCAGCAGCATTTGACACTTGCCCTTCTAGTTTTTTGATCATTGTCATTCTGATTGGGGTTATATAATAATATCTATTCGTGGTTTTGATTTGCATTGCTCCTATCATAAGAGGTGTTGAACATATTATCATATGCTTTTTGGTTATTTGTATGTCTTCCTTTGAGAGTTGTCAGGCTTATTTGTCCATTTTTAACTGGATTCTCCCCCCCCCCCTTCTTTTATTTATTTATTTATTTATTAATTTTTGTGAGTAATCTGCTCGAGTTCTCTATAAATTGTGGTTTTCAACCACTCACCCAAAGTATATTTTGTTAATATTTTCTCCCATTCTGTGGGTTGTCTCTTCAGTCTATTTACTGTTTCCTTTTCTGTGCAGGAGCTTTTTTAGCTTGATGTAATTCCACTTGTCTATTTTTGGAATTGTTGCCTGCACTTTAGGGATCCTATTTAAGAGATCTTTGCCTACTCTAATGTTTTCAAGTGTCTCCACTGTGTTTTACACTAGTAATTTTATAGTTTGTGTCTTTACATTTAGATCTTTGATCCATTTTGAGTTGATTTTGTTGATGATGAGGGATTAGGGTGTGTTTTCATTTTTCTGTAGGTGGACATCCAGTTTTTCTAGCACCATTTGCTGAAAACATGTTCTTTTCTAATTGGATTGGCTTTTGCCCTTTATGAAAAATTAACTGACTATATGTTTTGGGGTTTATTTCTGTATTTTCTATTCTGTTCTATTGGCCATGTGTCTAATTTTGTGCCAGTAATGTGCTGTCTTGATTGTCAGAACTTTGTAATATATTTGAGGTCAGGTAGTGAGATACTTTCTAGTTTATTTTTTGTCCACAATACTACCTTTGTGATACAGGGTCTTTCATGATTCCAGACAAATTTTATGATCACTTTTTCTATTTCTGTGAAGAATGCCACTGGTAATTTTATAGAAATCATATTGAATTTGTAAATTAATGTGGGTAAAATTGACATTTTAATTATTTTATTTCTTCCAGTCCAAGAACAAGAGTTGGTTTTTATTTTTTATTATTTTTGGTATCATAGTCAATTTATTTTTTCTTTTTTTCCATTTCTTTCAGTTTTTCTTTATATGTAGTATGTGTAAAACACACACACATACACACCAGTTATTTAATTAGGCCCTTGGTAAGAAATGTAGAATACTCACTTGTGGGGATAAATTCTACTTGTAAGGGCAAACATGGATTGCAGGTAACCCTGGAACTGAGGAACAGTTTTCATTTTGGGTAAAATGTGTGAGTATACAGCTTTCTGATCAACCTTGCACTGCTTCATAATCTCATGTTTCTCCTTCTCTGTGTTGAAGATCTCACCTTGCAGTAGTCTGGGCTTCCACAGCTTCTTTTTCTTGAAATAAGCATCAGTGAGGTGTTTTGGGATTTTTACTTTGCTAATATCAATTTTTGTGGAAGTGATGATGACAGATTTCTGGTGTGTTTTATATAGTGGAACTTGATTGAGGACAAGGGATCCAGTCACAAGTAGCAAACCACAAGTAGTTAGTGGCGTCATGAAAACCACTCTCTTGCCTATGTAGCATCCAGTGAAAGTGATCACAATGGTTCCAGGAATGATGCTAGCTTGCAGCTTTTTCATGGTGACTGAAGATTTTTTCTTTTTCTTTTTCTTTCTTTTTGCCATCGCTCAACAGCTTTTGAGGCACATAATCAATAGGATTATACCCGGGCAT